GAAAGAAGATGCATGGGCCACCGTATACGACCAGCCTGTGACAGTTGGCGCCCGGCCCCTAGTGATGGTCATTGGTCACTAGCGTGGCCCAAGAAGATGCTCACACTTGGCACTTAGTCTGGTGCTTGGTGTTGGAAGCACTACACGCAAGGACCAGCCCGGTTGCCCTCATTAGCTGCCACTTGCTGGCAGACACATCATCTTGTGGCCGTGTGTGAGGTAGCGTGACAGTACAGACCGAAGACTCAGTCGAGGGATGTGGGCAGAAGGACGTCGCTGGAAGAGCAGCGCGGGTCTGTAGTTTGGAAGTGAAAATTGCCGCCCCAATGGTCGCGCCAGGACCCCAAAAACGCTGGCCAGTAGATGCTCGGCGTGGGCTGACCCTGACGTGACGGGGGCTGCCGAGTAAGCGGTATAGTGCACCTAGTAGGCTCTTGGCTCTGACCCCAGTTAACAGCGTTGTTGTGGCGCCTGAAGGAGCAGCATCCGGACACTGATAAATCGGGAAGCATTGTTACGACCCTCATTCCTGCCTGCAAATCGTGTTTCCCGGTGCCACATCTTCAGAGACTTTTAAAAGACATTTTAGTCTACTGAAAAGTATTGTAAAAATATTTGTTTAAAAAAATAGACCCAGTGAAAATTGAACTGAAATATTTTAGCTAGGATTTTGTCATTATTTTTTTCCTTAGGATGTATTTTCTTGAATTTTTTATGCACCTTGTTAATATGTTGATTCTTACTTTTATTTTATGTCTCCACTAAATGAAGTTTTCGAGTGTGATTCAATCTTGATTGGATCCCACTACAAAAAGCTTCATTTTGGGGGAGATAGGGGGATATGTAACAGTGCAAGTATTTTGCACTCTTTCATGTATAATTGTGAGTTGTAATTGTGTGTGTGTATGTGTGCGCGCGTTAGTCGCGAGGGAGGTGGTAGTGGAAGTGAGCCAGCCTAACTTGTGCTGATGGGAGTACTATTGAACAAAGTAGCACTCTTCTGGCTTGCGAGAGTACCCACCCTGGCTCAGCCAGAGAGGTGGTTGAGTAGTGAGAGTGGAACCTTTGCAAGGGAGAGTACATCCAACCAGCTCCTCCATCCGGGCGGGTGATTACCCATCACCCACCCCTGGGTGAACTTGTTAGTGAGGTAAGAGTGTCAGTAATGCATTGTCTTAATTGGGTGTAGTAGTGTTGACGAGCTAGTAGAGTCTGAACCATTTAGCCATGTATGGTGTGGGCGTGTATGGAGTGGGTGATCTCCCCCCTTTTTAATTTGGTCAATATTGTGTTAACTAATAGAATGTCAAAGTGTTAAATATCAATTGCTGGAATTTGAAATGATTTTAAATAATTTTTAATAAATTTCTATGTGTAGAACAAGCTTGACTTTTGTTTAGTCCTCTTTTGAATCAATGTCCCCTCAAGTAAGAGTTAAGGCTAGAGAGACATCTAGATGAACACGTGAGAGATAACTAAATTAAGCAGTGTTCCTGTCGCATTGTTTAAGTGGAAGTGAATTTAGATTCAATGACAGGTGGTGGCAGCAAACATCAGAACATCTTAGAACATCAGTATTGTATAAGAGAATAACAGTTTTTGTCCACTCTCCCCTTTCTTCTTATGCCTCCTACATCACTCTACTCCTCCTTCATTGTCTCCCTCTGGCCTTCCCTCTCCTCGTTTTCTATTCCCGCTCGCCTCTTCCCCACCTCAGTTCCTGCCTCAACCTCCCCCATGTTCTATCTACCCATCCTTCATCCCTCTTTCCTCCTCTCCTTCCCTTCTTCATTTACTTTGCTTTACTATTCATCATACCGACCCCCCCCCCCGTTACAGGATGTGGGTAGGTTCATTCTTGTTTAGGATTTGTATTTCTGGAAACTGGTCCAGTAGATGTGTAATGTGAATGCCGGCCTCATTTGTTGTGTTCGAGCCCAGTGCCAATCGATGATGGGCATTAAAATCTCCACAAATGATTGTGTTTGTTGTTGTCGCGTGTCCAAGTAACACAGAGAGATCTATTTCGGCATGTGGAGACCTGTACACATTAAACACTTCAAGTTTGTCGTGTCTTAGTTCAATGGTTACTCCCATTACCTCCGTCCTTGCTCCACAATTGGGTGGGCTGGTTATGGACTTGCAGATCAGGTCACATTTTACATAGATTGCACATCTCCTGGATTGCCCGTTGATCCATGGAAGGAAGAAGCCTCGATAGCCTGAGATTTTAGGTTCTAATCCGGCTCGAAGCAAGCTCTCCTGTAGTATCAGGATGTCTATGCCCTTGGCTGCTGCTATGCATTGCAAGTGTTGCAATTTAGTGCGCAGTCCTTGCGCATTCCATTGCAGGATCTTTAGACCTCTAGGTTCTTGGAATTTGCTGATAATTCCGTGGTATCCATGGAGTCTGATGAACACGCCATGGAAGTTGCAATTGGTGTATAGGTTCTTAGTGGACCTGAAATTGGCTCATCAATGTCGCTTTCCGACGAGCTGGACTCTATCTGTTGTTTATGGGGGTGTCTCCTGCCCTGCTGTCTTGACGGTGTGGATATTACATCTTCGAATTTCTTGAGCTTGTGCTCAATTGTCTTCCGAGTCTCTGTGGTTTGCTTGATTCCATGAGATGACAACAGACTTTTGATCAACTCGGTGACCAAAGTTTTGAGCATTGGCCAGAGAGCGTCCAGTTCTGTTGGAGCACTAATTAATGTTGTGCTAGTTTGGGGCCTAGTGGCTTTTAGACCCTTCTCAGTGGTAACTTTGACACTGGAATTGTTAATATTGGCCCCAGTGTGCTTACTGGATGAAATGGGAGGCCGACTGCTTTGAACATGATTCTTGTGTCCTCCATCTTTCTTTTTGTCCTGTACAGAGGTCTTCTCACCCTTCACCATGGCCGATGGTGAAAGGCCGTGTGCCCCCACTTCCTGAATGGGTAGACCCCCACGCGGTTTTAGTGGGCATGGGAGCTGGTATTCGTTTTGGTGGGGGTTTCGGCTCTGCTGTAGGCGTGGTGGGGTTAGTTTGAAGCCTTTTGAGCCTTTCAGGGCATTTCAAGTTCCAGGCATGATGTGCCTTGGAGCAATTTGGGCACTTTGCCTGGACAGGGTGGTTTGCCTTGTGTTTATCAATACATGTTTTTGTGTCATGGGGCTGGCTGCAGACTCCGCACCTCACTGGGCGTTGGCAGCCATCTTTGTGATGCCCAAATCTCTGACATCTGAAGCATCTTAGGGGTTCTGGGGTGTAAGGCCTGTGTTGGAACACCCCCCAGATTCCAAGGTCACGTTTCTCCGGGATCCGTCCTCTTACTGTGAGTAGGACTTGTCGAGTTTCCTGTTTTGTGGTTCGAACTTGGCATCTCTCTGCTGACACCACATAGTTCAGTTTTTCGAGATGGCCAAGGGCCATATGCAAGGGATAGTGGAGGACAATGATTTTTCTTATTTTATCCTCTGGTTTCAGTTCCTCACATTTTGCGTAATTTTTCAGAATCGTAGCGGCCGACTCGTCCGAGTATGAACACTTACTTCCTGTTTGGGTGTCACGGCGAGTCATCTTCGTGTTTATTTACTTCGTGGTGAAATAGCAAATGCTTTGGTGACATTTTATGCATATGATCTTGTAGAGAATTTTATTGCCAACGCATTGATACCAAAATGAAAAACGTAGCTCGAGAATTGATGTTAGGAGCGTGAAAAGATTATACACTTTTTTTGTGTTTACGCTTGAGCGCCCAGAGCGCCGGGCGCACAAGGCGCTTTTTTTCACGAGTGCCGCGCGCACTAAAGTGATAATTATTAAGTCACTGCACATCCTCTCATGTGCATTTTATATATATAAAACGCTGAACTGTAATGTCAATCCTGACCTTAAAAGCTTCCAAGAAGGTTGTAACAGATCCCATGAGCACCACACCAGAAACAAATACTTATTTGATATTCCAAGAGTACAACTTAGTCAAACTAGAAATCCTTTACAAATCAAGGGACCTCGAATGTGGAATTATGTTAAAATATGTTATTCCGACATAACTTCCCAATTATGTTAAAGACTGTACCTCTCCCAACCAGTTTAAGATAAAAACTAAGTACCACCTAATTAACTCAATGTAACCTACCTCACCCCTAAATGTCAACCCATGTCTACGATTTTAAACAATGCTGTTTGTTGACCAAATTGTATTTTTGTTTTTTTTCTGCCATGTTTCCCCCCTTTTTTTCTTATTTTTTCTCAACACAATTTATACTTTAATCTCAATTAGTATTAAGTTTTAGTCTTAGTGTTTTTCCTGCCCGAAACGCTTTGCATAATAGTGGCTTTAGGCATTGTATGTGCTAGCTCTATCTATAAATCCATCAACTTTTGTATCTCACCTTGTATGTGTGTACTTTACCTGAATAAATATTTATTTGTTTGTTTGATAGGTTAGTTTAGTTTGTCAAAGAAACACATGTAAAAAATAGTTTCCAGTTTGTCCAAAACTCTGTTATTATAGTGACATAAAATATACTTTGTCACTTATTACAAGAATCCATGTTTAAACTTAAACATTAATAACATAATATATTTATTAATGACAGGACTTTTCAGATTTTATTTATAAAATTAGGAGACAGTGCATATTAATAATAATTTGCATACAATGGGATATAAAAAAGAGTTCTGATGTTAGCCAGCCTCGCATACAACGCTGACGATATTTTTTTTGTGGGCTTCAGAAGTTAGGTTCGGTGTGGTATCAACTCCAAGAGCCTTCTCGCTTTCTGTTTAGTGGAAGATTTCATCTCCCATTTTGTACCTTGTGCCTGTCCTCCTGCTCCCTCCACTTGGCTTCATTATGTGCGAAAAACCTGCCGGGATTGATATGAGAGGAGACTACCAGGGACTTGTACTGTATTAAATTAAAAATTACTGTTTGCAATTAATTCAACTAAAGTCTCTAGCTAGGGTCGTAAATCCTAGCTCCTCTTTTCCTAATGACAGATTGTGGGCTGTAAGGGGCAGGTGGGGTGAATGAATTAGTTGATAAGTTGATTGAAGATCCACAGTCCACCTGCAGACAAGTATCTCACATTAACTTGTATTTTTTTTATACAGGGATAAGATTTCAATAAATTCAGTTCTATGACTGAACACTGGTTCTGTTTAAAGCAGGGATTTAAACATGTACATAGTCCAGCCTAGCACCATAACTATCAACAGCCAATATATTCATATACTATAAAACAATTTAAATTGTAGAAGTATGATATTAAATGACCTTAAATGTTGTCTAAGTACTAAAGATTATATTCAATTAGATAAACTTATATGATAAATTAAAGATAACTAAGCAAGCTATTGTTGACATAATTTATATATTCAAGGATATAGATATATTCAACTTATATGAAGAGGTTCAGTCAGCCTGATTGAATCTTTTTCCACACAAGGGACACTCATGAGGTTTTGTTTACCTCACGAGTGTCTTTATGCTTGGATAAAGATTCAGCTGCTGCACTACAATATTAATAAACTTACTAAAATATGAGGCGTTGCCTCACTCTATAACCGACAGACAGACTTATTGGATATATTAAAGTTATAGAAGCATACAATTGGCCAATTAATACACTAATAACATTCAATATACTTCTCTGATTGCCGGGTGCCTGTCTGACAAGTGTGCCAGACTGGATATCTCTCTTGTTGCGAGTTTTGGCATGATATTTTTATTTCACAGCTTTGCTGAATGATGATCTAGTAGCATTGCTACATGATTGTCCTTAATTGCGTTTGCAGTACAAAGATGATGGTAATCATCAAACCAATTCTATTTGCTGATGACACAACCTAGCAGCTTTGTGTTGAGTAATTAGAGGACGTAAGTGATTTTGGGTAGTAGAGCCCCAATCACAAATACCATAGTTGAGATATGGATAGATAAGGGAGTAATAGAGAGTCACCAGGGCAGGGCGTGGTACATAATATCTGATCTTAGAAAGAATGCCCACAGTTTTTGAAACTTTTTTTGATATGTTTAGAATGTGTCCCTGGAAATTCAGCTTGTGGTCAATGAGAATGCCAAGGAATTTGCCATCTAATTTGTTACAAATTTGGGTATTGTTTATTTTGAGATTTATTTGATTAGAGGATTTATTGCCAAACAGAATATAGAAAGTTTTGTCAATGTTAAGGGTGAGTTTGTTGGCAGTTAGCCACAGATGGACTTTATTTAGCTCAGTATTTACTGTGGCATTTAGAGCAAGGGGATCAGGACTGGAGTAAATGAAGGTTGTGTCGTCAGCAAATAGGATTGGTTTGAGGTGTTGGGAGGCATTTGGAAGGTCATTAATGTAGATGAGAAAGAGGAGAGGGCCAAGTATGCTGCCCTGGGGAACACCATGTTGATGGGTAGGGTGGGAGAAATTGTATTATTCACAGAAACACATTGGAGCCTGTCAGTAAGGTAGGATTTGAGGTATTGTAGGGAGTGTCCTCTGACACCATAATGATGTAATTTAAGAAGAAGGTTTTGGTGGTTGACAGTATCGAAAGCTTTACGCAGGTCCACAAATAACCCAACAGGGAACTCATTTTTATCAAGAGCTGTATGAATCGAGTTAAGCATACTAATAAGTGCATCGTTAGTGCTTTTTTTGGGCCTGAAGCCATATTGGCAAGGGCTAAGTATATTGAGTTTGGCTAGATATGAGTAAAGCTGTTGATCAGGTAAATAATACCCTACATATGTTGAATAAGTTAGGAATTTCATTAACATTTTCATGAAATGGTAATTATTTTTCATATACTTCGAGTAAATAGCATATTTTTCGATAAAAGTCATAGGATTTTTTAATGTACAACTGCAAGGTATATGACACTGAGTTCATTATTGATGCTACTCTCTACATATTATTTATGCTCTCCTATATCTTTAAGAAACACGGAGTAAACTGTACAGAAATATATTAATATATCAAATATTTCCAGAATTTATAAATACAATAAAAAAACAAGTTGAAGTTCTATATATATATTTAATATATATATATATATATATATATATATATATATATATATATATATGCGAACAAGCCAGAATGGTCCCCTGGACAATATGCAACTGAAAACTCACACCCCAGAAGTGACTCGAACCCATACTCCCAGAAGCAACGCAACTGGTATGTACAAGACGCCTTAATCCACTTGACCATCACGACCGGACAAAATGAGGTGATAGCCGAGGCTATTTGAACCACCCCACCGCCGGCACTCGGATAGTTATCTTGGGCATAGCATTTTACCAAATCACCTCATTCTTAGGGGCACACGTGAGGAACACAAATGCGAACAAGCCAGAATGGTCCCCTGGACAATATGCAACTGAAAACTCACACCCCAGAAGTGACTCGAACCCATACTCGAGTTTTCAGTTGCATATTGTCCAGGGGACCATTCTGGCTTGTTCGCATTTGTGTTCCTCACGTGTGCCCCTAAGAATGAGGTGATTTGGTAAAATGCTATGCCCAAGATAACTATCCGAGTGCCGGCGGTGGGGTGGTTCAAATAGCCTCGGCTATCACCTCATTATGTCCGGTCGTGATGGTCGATGGTCAAGTGGATTAAGGCGTCTTGTACATACCAGTTGCGTTGCTTCTGGGAGTATGGGTTCGAGTCACTTCTGGGGTGTGAGTTTTCAGTTGCATATTGTCCAGGGGACCATTCTGGCTTGTTCGCATTTGTGTTCCTCACGTGTGCCCCTAAGAA